CAGAGCACACTCCAGCCCATGTGTGACCGGCCAGTACACACTCCGGATGCAGGAGTGAGCAGGACTTTCCTTGCGATAGCTGCTGCTGGTTGCCAGAGGCACTGTGGCTCCAAGCTCCAGAACTGAGCAGGGAGACGTCTCCCCATTCTGCCTATGCTCCAGGGCCTTCAGCCCCAATACAGTGACAACTACTGCTGGCTGTCCCTGGGGCAGAAGAGCGGGTTGGGTGCTGCGGGTACACCCAGACAGTATGCAGGCGACTCAAGGTATCTCCTGCTAGTCTCCCCGGGGCCCACACCAGCTGAGCCCCAGAAACCAGCCCTGCGCTGGAGCCCATCCAGCGCTTCAGAGACAGCCGGATCCAATGCTCGGGAAAGGAGCCCTCACCCAACAAGCCGCCATTCCAGCTGTTCTCCTGGCCACTGGCCCCCTGGGGCGCCCTCTGCCGCTCGGCCAACAGGGCCCGCTGCGCTGCACCGACATCCCTGGCCCCTTCCTGGGCTGGCACCCGCGCCTGAAACAACAAGTGTCTCTGCTTAGTGCCCACAGGTCCAGGCACTGTCCCCAGCACCACGGGCCCATGCCATGGAGCCACAGCGGTGCCAGAAGCCACAAAACATCCCCTGCACCATGGACCAGGCACAGGGCAAGCAGCAATTCTGGTGCCATCAACCCCCACACCACTCTGCTCCCATGGGGCGAGGCCAGGGGAAGTGCAGCATCCCATGTGCTCACCTGGTGCTGCCATCCGGGCTTCTGGGGAACCAGCTGGAAATCCTCTGCCAGGGCCACGGCCTCCTGGCCACTCTCTGGGCCACGCTCCCGCACCCAGCTCTGCATTTCCTCAGGCAGGAGATTCAGGAACTGCTCAAGAACAAGCAGCTCCAACATCTGCTCCTTGGTGCGGGTCTCTGGCTGCAGCCACCGATGGGAAAGTTCCCACAGGTGGCCATAAACCTCCCGGGGCCCCTCGGCCTCCCGGTAGCGGAAGCCCCTGAAGCGCTGGCGCTGCGTCTCCATGTCGTGGCGGCGCAGGGCAGTTCCCTTCACCTTGGCACCATCACCGGCCTCGCTGGCATCCAGGCTGGCGTGGATCTGTTGGGTTTTCCCACAGAGCGGAGGGAGAAGTCGGGCTCCCCCCAGCCCTTTGGGCCCCTGGCAGGTGTCAGTCACTCGTCTGAAGGCAGTGAGATCAGACTCATTCTCCCCCCCTTCTCCATCTCCCCGTGAGGCCAGGGGGCCCGGCAGCCCCTCCCGACACCGCTCGCCCCAAGGCTGCTGCCCGATCAGCGGCTGCTGCGGCACCAGCCAGCGCAGGATCTCGTCTGCCGTCCAGTACTGCACGGCAGGGGGCGCTTTCCCTGCTCGCTCCGGGGCTCCTGCAGGGGCGGGGCCGGCTGCCTCGGCCTCCTGCCCCTTGGCCTGCGTTTGCACCACTTGCTCCAGCAAAGTGGGAAACTGGAGCCCAGCTCCCTCCCGCACCACCGGTTCTGGCTCCTGCAGTGGGGGTGCGGGCTGGGCCAGGGCCTCCACCATCTCCAGCTGCTTCTGGAAGAGCTTCTCCAGGAGTTGGGCCTGGAACTCCCGGTCCTCCCGCCGCATCTCCCGGTCATGCTGGATGAACTCGGCCAGGCTCTGCCTCTCCTCCGCCCTCCAGGCACCAGTGCGCCTCGCCCGCTTCAGCTCCAGCTGGCTGCGCCCGTGCTTCTGGCTGGGTCCCCGTGGAGTCTCCAGCGGCCCATCCTCCCGTGCCTTGCGCTTCCTGGCCCGGAGGTGCACGAGCCGGTCCAGCGCTGAGACCAGCTTCCGGGAGGCCGGTTGGGGCTCCGCCGATGCAGATGGGGAAGGGTCTGGAGAGAGAAAGAATGCAGGGTGAGGGCCCACAGCACACGTGGCCTGTCACACACCCTGTTGTATTGGTATACCCTCCAGCTCCCTTTACTGTACAGCCCCAGGCAGCAGGGGAGCTGGGCGCCTGCTCCCAGTCAGGCTGAGGCACCAATGGGGTTGGTGCATGGAACGAGGGGCACAGTGCTACTCTCAGATGAAGCTGATGGTGCCCAGTACAAGGAGAGGGAAACACAGGATGGCTTTCCCCCTGTGGAGAGGCAGAGGAAGGCCCCAGACACGAGGCACAGTCCAGATGGGCCACCAGGATGGCAGAGCCATGCACACAACCCAGGGCTAGCTTCCAAAGTGTGCCAGGCCCTGGCACGCTGAGTGATGATGGCCAGGACAGGAGAAGCACAGCCAGGCTGGATCAGTGCTAACACAAAGGGCCCCGCAGTGCCCAAGCTCCATGGCTTGCACACAAAAGGAGACTGGGACTGGAGAGTAATGGAGTGGCATTGGTGTGCCAGGGCTAATTAGTGCCAGGGTGACAAGCGGCTCTGTTCCACTCATGCCCCATTCAAGGCCTCCTCACAGAGACTTAGTGGGAGCAAAATCATGGATCCCAGGGACTTCTGGGGAAAGGCTTCAGCCCAGAGCCTCTCCCCTCCACTGGTGAGTCTTGTTAGTATATAGGTCTGTTTGTTAGCCTAGGATAGAACTTTGGGTTTGACTTTTTTATACTCTTATACTAAAATGTGTAAACAAGGGACAAAGACACTGTGATGTTGCTTCTGCCTAGTCAGCTGGATTTTTAGTACAATGGGAATAGATAAGAGCAGTTAAAGTGTTACTCCAGAGCACACTTTAAGATTGCCTTGAGATAGGGGTTCAGGCAAAGTCAAGCAACCAATTGGGAGGGGCAAAGGGGCTGGGGGTGGGGGAGCAATAAAACACGAAAAGACCAAAGAAATGCCCATCTCTGACCAGAGCACAACCTCACTCCTTTCCCCTCCCATGGGGTACAAAAGGGGTGAGATGTAACATGACCCTAAGTTGTAAGAGGTGGGATTGTGGGCGTGCATTGCAGGTATATTTGGGCCTGCTAAGAAGGAGGAGGTGGGAAATGGGGAACAAGGACACAGGCAAGGCTCTGCAGCATCAGAGCTGGGAAGATGACCTGGTGAACAGACTCTGCTGGTGTATACAGCTATGGATGTGCTTATTTGGAACTAACCCCAACAAACATTGAATTGCCTGCACTTCGTACTTCTGGTCTTCTGCTTTCTGTCTGCGTGACAAGAACCAGAGGAGAGGGTGAAGGGAAAGCCCTCTAACAAACCTCAGGGGTCCTCGGAGACATCCAGACCCCAGCATGCTCCTGGGAATTCCTGGCCAGCACTGCCAATACACAAGACCCTGCTCCGTCTCCCCCTTGCATGTGTGTCCCTTCCCATCCCCCACTGGTCATCCCCCCCACTCCGCTTTGACTCCAATCATGCTGCACAGTGGAAGCCTGACCGACTGAGATGGCCAAGCCAGCTCTGCCAGCCTATGAAGAACGGGGAAGGAGAGGGGCCTGCTGAGACCAGCCAGGTGATGTCCCTCACCAGAGGTGTGGTGAACCAGAGGCTGGAGAACAGCTGTGGTGGCTGATCCACCCACCCAGCTCAGCCACCTGTGACCCACCTGCAGCTCCATCCAAATTAACGTAACAGTTTCCCCAGGGTTCCTCTTCAGATGGCCTGGGGCTCCCTCTCCCAGCAACAGGGGACTGGGTCCATCCCGGAAGAGTCTGTGGCCCCCCAGTGCTCTGGGGGAGGGCCCCTGTGGACAGCCCCCAAGGGAACCAGGCCAGGCGATGGCAGCGAGGTTACCCCACGTCCTGTACAGAGTCCCCTGGGCTAAGCACCTCCAGGGGAGCAGAGCTCAGCTGCAGCAGCCTACAACATAGGCAGTTTGTGGCCCCATGGAGCCTGCCTGCAGGCGTGGGACCCAGCTAGATCAAGGACATGTGGCCAGCATGGCAGCCATCACCCCCCTGGTGGAGCAGCCTCAACCATGCCCCTACCCTGGGCCATGCTCCCAGCCACGAGTCCCTGACACAGAACTGCTGCTTGCAGGATGGCAAGATTCTGGCATGGCTGGGATTCTAGGGGCCAGGGCCGGACCCCTGGTGCAGCACCTCCCAGCAACCCCTCGCCAACAACATGGGCTTACCAGGCTCAGGTGGCAGTTCGTCCGCGGACGCCTCCTCCTCCTTCACCTGCACGGCCTGCACCTCGCCCAGCAGGGCCTGAGCCTCGGGGAGCACGTAGCCCAGCTCCTCAGCCCCCTGGCTCTCTGAGGCAGCAGCCTGGGATCCCCAATGGTCAGAGGCCGAGGCCTGGGACTCCCAGTGCTCAAAGGCAGCAGTGGCCTGGGAATCCCATGGCTCAAAGGATGGTGCCCCCCAGCTCTCCGGGGCAGCTGTACCCTCCTGCCTGTCCGCGCCGCCGGGCCCCTCACCACTCTCTGCCAGGAGGCTAGAGCGGGTGCTGTCGCAGCGCTGCATGATCTGGTCCATCTCCTCATAGAATGGGCAACGCATGGGCGGCCTCCCGGCTGCATTGTTCTCTTTGGCCTTGCGATATGTCACCTTAAGGCCTTTCATCTTCTCCCGGCACTGGTCGCCGGTGCGGTAGATGCCCAGCTCAGCCAGGCGCTGGGAGATGCCATCGTAGACAACCCTGTTCCTGCCGCGCGAGCTCAGGTCATGTGAGGTGGCCGCCTCCGCCCACAAGGCAATTAGCACCTTGATGTGATCAGCCGGCCAGCTGGCTGCCCGCTCCTGAGGCTTGTCCCGGCGCATTGCAGCAGGAGGGGGCCGGACTGGTGGAGGATCCCTGGGGAAAGGCTACAGTGCCCAGCACCAGCCCAGTCGACCACACAACACGACACACCACAACCCAGCAAAGCCAGGCCGCAGGCCTGTGCTCGCTGCCCCTACTGCAGGTGTCACAAACCGCACAGGCTGGCCCCAGGGTCCTCACGGACCAAGGCTAGGGGACACCAGACACAGGGGGTCGCCTGCCCCGGAAGCTCTCAGCAGATCTGCAGAGTGGTATCGGCCCCAGAGACGCTACCATCGGTGCCAGTGCCGCGGACACGGGCAGGGCAGAGTGGCAGGAATGAGCATCCTGTACAGAGCAAGAGAGATGATCAGTGCAGCTACTGCCCCCCTGCAGGCTAAGCTCACCAACAGCACAGCCAGCCCCTTCGGGTGCAGCAAGGTGCAGCCATGCAGGCCCCAATGTGTCAGTCAGGCTGAGTGGGCTAGGGGACAGCTCATACGGGGTCAAGTGCTGAGGGGCAAGGAGCCAAGCTTGGTGGGGCGGCGAGCTTGGTGCAGTGCCCAGCTCCCCAGCACAGACAGATCCCTCCCCCCTGTAACCCAGCTCCCTGCCCCCCAGAACAGCCTAAGGCGCCCGTGTTTCGAGTCCCGCTAGGGTCTCTCTCTCCCCAGCCCATGGACACCTGCAGGGCCGTTGTGGCCGTCCGACACAAAGGAGCGGGGCTTTTCGCAGCCAGGTGGCGCCGGGCACGGCTACGCGAGCATCCTCGCTCGGTCTCTGCAGGACCGGCCCACGCACGGGCTCCGGGGCCCAGCCCCGCGGAGCCATAGCGCCTGGCCTGCCCAGGAGGACGAGGATGGAGTCCCTGCCTTGGCCCGGGGTCACTATCCCCACCGCGGATCCAGCCTCTCGCGCAGAGCGGGCTGGATGCGGCCGGGGGGAGGGGGGTGCAGAGCAAACGGCCCGTCTCCGCTCTGGAGCGGGGGTAGAACTCGGGGGGGGGGGGGTAAGGCTCAGGCGGGGGATGGGGCGAGCGGCCCCTGCAGAGCCGCACGAGTCCCCTACGGGGCCAGGCCCCTACACCGGAGCCGCCCGCCCGGCGCGTTCAGCTGGGGCAGGACAGAACCCACCTACCGCTGCCAGAACCCCGCGTGGGCGGGGGTACATCGCCTGCCCCGGAAGATCTCAGCAAATACCGCTGATGCCAGGATAGCGCCCACTATTGGCTGACCAATCATGAAGGAGAGGGAGCGTCGATTGGCTGATGGGGCAGCCAGTCAGGGTCGAAGGGCGTAGCGAACGGTCCAGACATCTGTCAATTTTAGCTGACACCTCGAGTGAGGAACCGGCAGAGATCGGTTGATCTTTTGAATCGTCACCAGGGTTCATCCGATCAGCTATTGGTGAACAGGCCTGTCAGAGAGGCGACTGTAGGCAGCGATTGGACAGACTCTGCTGTCACACCGCGGAAGGGCTGGACTTCTATTTACCCGCCCCCTCACCTCCCAGCAGCAGCAGCCAATAGGCAGAGCCGGGCCTGTATCTCTCTCTGCCTCGGGTCGGGGCCTGGGCCTGGAGACCAGGGGACTCTCCCCATCACCGCCTGGAGCCCTCTAGGTGTCCGCGGGCGGTGCCGGTCTGTGCTGGGGGCAGCGAGCTGGGCACGGGCATGTTTTGGCTGGGGACAGGGAGCTGGGTTATGGGTCGGAGGGCAGGGAGTTGGGAGGGGCCTGTCTTGGCCGGGAGGCAGGGAGCTGGGTTATGGGGTAGTGAGCTAGGAGATGGGTTATGGGGTTGGGGCAGGGAGCTGGGTCCGGGGGTGAATGGGTAGGGAGGGACATGGATTGGCTAGGGGTCAGGGAGCTGGGGCAGAGACCTGGGTTATGAGTGAGGGGCAGGGAACTGGGTATGCGGGTGGATGGGTAGGGGGGCAGGGATGGGCCTGGCTTGGCTAGGGGGTAGGGAATTGGGTTATGGGGTAGAGGGCCAGGAGGTGGGTTATGGAGCAGGGAGCTGTGGGATGGGGCAGAAAGCTGGGTTCTGGAGTGGAGGACAGGGAGCTGGGTTATGGAGTGGAGGACAGGGAGTTGAGTATTGGGGTGGATCGGAGGGGCATGTCTTGTCTGGGGGGGGGCAGGAAGCTGGGTTATGGGGTAGCGGGCCAGAAGGTGGCCTATAGGGTAAGGAGTTGGGTTAAGGGTTGGAGGAGCAGGGATCTGAGTTGGGGGGCAGGGAGCTGGGTAATGGAGTAGTGGGCCAGGCGGTGGGTTATGGGGCAGGGACCTGGGAAAAGGGGGGTGTCTATGTGGGGGGCAAGCAGTGTTGGCAAATGTTGGCTGATCTGTTCTAGCCTTGGCCTGAGTGTCCTGTGCTGACTCCTGGGTATTTCCCTTCCTTCTCTAGGAGGATGCTGCATTGGGGAGGGAAAGTGCGCCCTTCCCTCGGGTTGGGCTGCCATCTACTTGTCCCGCAGTTCCAGTCCTGCATGGCCCAGCAGGGCGTGCGGCTGGTCGGGTTCCCTGAATGCAGGTTGCAAGTCTGTCTGGCCAGGAAACAGTGGGCTGATTGCCATGGGCTGCAGCTGATGTGGAGCTGAGCGCATGTTTGCAGGCAGGGCAGACCAGGCTCAGGGTTTGAGTCACAGGTTTTTCCTCCCTGTGACTGGATCAGGGCAGGTTTGTGGGTTGCAAGCAGGGCTGTTAGGCCTCTGAGTGCTGTCCCTCAGTGCATCAGCCCTTGCAGAGCACCTGTGTGGCTGCCTGGTGCTCTTTCCTCCCAAGGTGTATGTGTTACCAGCAAATCCTTCCTTCGTTCTCCCAGTGTCCGTGTTACTAGCACAGACCCTCTTATCCCTGCCAGGTGCAAGCTGTTTCCACAGCAGCCAGCTCTGTGTGGTACCACCCGCTGAGCAATTCCCATCTAAACACCTGCGATGCGTCGGGACCGGCCCCCGGAGCGGGCGGCCAGCTGGCCGGCTGACCATGTCATGGTGCTCATCTCCTACTGGGCAGAGGCGGCTGCTGTGCACGATTTGGGCTCCCATGGCAGGAACAGAGTTGTCTATGATGGCATCTCCCAGCGCCTGTCCAAGCTCGGCATCTACCGCACCGGGGACCAATGCCGGGAGAAGATGAAAGCTCTGAAGGTTGCTTATCGCAAGGCCAAAGAGAACAACGCGGCTGGGAGGCCGCCCATGCGCTGCCCCTTCTACGAGGAGATGGACCAGATCATGCAGCGCTGTGTCAACACCCGCTCCAGCCTCCTTGCGGAGAGCGGCGAGGGGCCCGGCACTTCGGACAGGCAGGAGGGCACAGCTGCCCCGGAAAGTTGGGAGGCACCAGCTTCAGCCTCTGACCATTGGGGGACCCAGGCCACTGAGAGCTGGGGATGTGAGGAGCCGGGCTACATGCTCCCTGAGGTGCAGGACCCGCTAGGCGAGGTGCAGGCTGTGCGGGTGCAGGTGAAGGAGGAAGAGGCATCCACGGATGAGCTGCCACACGAGCCCGGTAAGCCCCCTTGTTGGCGAAGGTTCAGCGGGTGCTAGGAGTCCCTCCTGCACTGCATTAGGGGTCGGGGGTCGTGTGGGGGATCCTGGCCTATTCATGGAGGGGATTTTGTTTCCCTGGCCGACATGTGGGGGTGAGCCACACTGGTACAACGGGCTGCGTGCCAGGCCAGGTGCGCTGTGGGCCCTCACCCTGCATTCTTTCTCTCTCCAGACCCTTCCCCATCTGCATCGGCGGAGCCCCAACCGGCCTCCCGGAAGCTGGTCTCAGCGCTGGATCGGCTCGTGCACCTCCGGGCCAGGAAGCGCAAGGCACGGGAGGATGGGCCGCTGGAGACTCCACGGGGACCCAGCCAGAAGCACGGGCGCAGCCAGCTGGAGCTGAAGCGGGCGAGGCGCACTGGTGCCTGGAGGGCGGAGGAGAGGCAGAGCCTGGCCGAGTTCATCCAGCATGACCGGGAGATGCGGCGGGAGGACCGAGAGTTCCAGGCCCAGCTCCTGGAGAAGCTCTTCCAGAAGCAGCTGGAGATGGTGGGGGCCCTGGCCCAGCCCGCACCCCCACTGCAGGAGCCAGAGCCGGTGGTGCGGGTGGGAGCTGGGCTCCAGTTCCACGCTCTGCTGGAGCAGGTGGTGCGAGCACAGGCCAAGGGGCAGCCGACTGAGGCAGCCGGCCCTGCCCCTGCAGGAGCCCTGGAGCGAGAGGGGAAAGTGCCCCCCGCCGTGCAGTACTGGACGGCAGACGAGATCCTGCGCTGGCTGGTGCCGCAGCAGCCGCTGATCGGGCAGCAGCCTTGGAGCGAGCGGTGTCGGGAGGGGCTGCCGGGCCCCCTGGCCTCACGGGGAGATGGAGAAGGGGGGGAGAAAGAGACTGATCTCGCCTCCTCCAGACGAGTGACTGACACCTGTCAGGGGTCCAAAGGGCTGGGGGGAGCCCAACTTCTCCCTCCCCTCGGCGGGGAAGCCCAACAGATCCATGCCAGCCTGGATGCCAGCGAGGCCGGTGATGGTGCCAAGGTGAAGGGAACTATCCTGCGTCGCCACGACATGGAGACGCAGCGCCAGCGCTTCAGGGGCTTCCTCTACCGGGAGGCCGAGGGGCCCCGGGAGGTTTACGGCCACCTGTGGGAACTTTCCCATCGGTGGCTGCAGCCAGAGACCCGCACCAAGGAGCAGGTGCTGGAGCTGCTGGTTCTTGAGCAGTTCCTGAACCTCCTGCCTGAGGAAATGCAGAGCTGGGTGCGGGAGCATGGCCCGGAGAGCGGCCAGGAGGCTGTCGCCCTGGCAGAGGATTTCCAGCTGGTTCCCCAGAAGCCCGGGTGGCCGCCCCAGGTGAGCACATGGGATGTTGCACTTCCCCTGGCCTCGCCCCATGGGAGCAGAGTGGTGTAGGGAGTGATGGCACCAGAATTGCTGCTCGCCCTGTGCCTGGTCCATGGTGCAGGGGACGTTTTTTGACTCCTGGCACTGCTGTGGCTCCACGGTATGGGCCCGTGTGGTGCTGGGGACAGTGCCTGCACGAGCTGGCACTAAGCAGAGACACTGGTTGTTTCAGGTGCGGGTGCCAGCCCAGGAAGGGGCCAGGGATGTCGGTGTGGTGCAGCGGGCTCTGCTGGCCGAGCGGCAGAGGGCGCCCCAGGGGGCCAGCGGGCAGGAGAACGGCTGGAACGGCGGCTTGTTGGGTGAGGGCTCCTTTCCCCAGCACTGGATTCTGCTGTCTCGGAAGCACTGGGTGGGCTCCAGTGCAGGACTGGTCTCTGGTTTCTGGGGGTTCAGCTGGTGTGGGCCCCGGGGGGACTAGCAGGAGATACCATGAGTTGCCCCTACGTTGGCTGCGCATGCCTGCAGCACAGGACAGCCGGCAGTGGGTGTTGCTGTACTGAGGCTAACAGCCCCAGAGCGTAGGGAGGGTTAGTGCCAGTGAGGTGCGTCTCTGACTGATCCCCTCCCTCAACCCCACCAATGGGGCTGAGTGTGCTATGGAGATCTCCAGGGAGGTGGGGGAGGGTCTCTGTACATGTGCCCTACGTGAGGAGGTATCAGGGAGTGCGCTCCCTGCCACCCGCTCTCGTTAACCTGTGGAGAATGTCCCAGGGCAACTTCGCTGTGTCATCGGTACCTCAGCCATGGGTTCCTGAGATGACCCTCCCGTGAGCCAGTGTCATGCTCTCTTCCCCATTACCGAGCTGAGGCCAGTGACCCTCTCTGACTGGCCCAAGTTCCCAGAGTGTCTGGGCGCAGCCGGATGAACTCAGCATCCCGATGCCCAGCCCCTTGGCCCCAGACTGGGCCTTGTCTCTCTCGAGCAGTAACTCTTGGTGATTTATTCTCCCAGCTGCCACGCCGGGCGCCCCGCTGGCGCAGAGACCGAGCCTGGGGGCGATCAAACCAGCTGCTCCCCAGCCCCTGTGCAACAGAGTGGGCTCCAGGCAGGGACAGCAAGTGGAGAATGGCTTAGAGCCACTGCAGAGCACCGGGCACCTGCGGCAAGCAGAGAAGAACGCTGCCCCAGTGCCACGCCCAGCAGCTGGGAAGGCGACCGAGCTGTGCAGTGCTGGCCCAGGAGAGCACGTGGGGACGGACGGTGTGCCACAAGGCATAGCCACCATTCAAGGGGGC